CACCAGGAGTAATTCCTGAGCACGGAGCCAAGAGTAATCCCTGAGCATCACTGGGTGTGACCCCCCCTCCAAAAAAAATAAAGCCGGTTCTTTGGCGCCAGATGGTACTTTTCCACCTGGGAACCAGCCCTTGGTAGTGGAGAATGCAGCAAAAAATGTCTTTTTTCTCCTCATCCATGCTCTTCCCCCTGCCCCCCCACCTCCTGTGCTCCTTCCCCTCCCCTCCTCCAGCCTTCCCCTCCTCCTCCCCCCCACTCACCCTCTCCTTACACTCTTCCTTCTTCCCTTCCTCCTCTCCTTCCTCTCTCTGTTTCTTTCTTCCTCCTCCTCATTTTCTTCCTTCCTTTCTTTTATTTGGGGGTTATACCCAGTGGTGCTCAGGGGTTTACTTCTGGCTCTGTCCTCAGGCATCACTTCTGGCAGGGCTCAGGCACCTGGCAGACCGTATGGGGTGCTGGGGATTGAACCCAGGTCAGCTGACCACGTGCAAGGTAAGTGTTCTCCCCACTGTTCTATGACCCTTCCTTCCTTCCTTCCTTCCTTCCTTCCTTCCTTCCTTCCTTCCTTCCTCCCTCCCTCCCTCCCTCCCTTCCTCCCTTCCTTCCTTTCCTTTTTCCTTCCTTTCTTTCTTGGGCTACACCTGGTGGTGCTCAGGACCTGTTGCTGGCTCTGTGCATACGGATTACTCCTGGTGGCACTTAAAAAAAACTGCAAGAGGTTCCAGGATTAAACCCAGGATGGCTACATGCAAGGCAAGTGCCTTAATCCTATTCTCTTATCTGGCCTTTGCTGAAATCATGAAGAAGTGCTTACTCTCCATACAAGACCTTGTTCAGTTTTTTGTAATTGGGGGACGGGGTGAATACCCAGAAATGCTCAGAGGTTACTCCTGGCAGTGCTTGGAAGACCATATGGGATGTTAGGAATCAAACCTGGGTTGGCCACGTGCAAGGCAAGTGCCCTACCTGCTGTACTATTACTGACCTTGTTTAGAGAATTATAAAGTGTAGCTTTTTTTTTTGTGGGGGGGGTTATACTTGGTGTTACTCAGGGGCTATTCTTGGCTCTGTGCATAGAAGTGACCCCTGGTGGTACTTAAGGGATTAATAAGCACAAGGCACTGTACCTTACCTCATATCATGTACTGTCTTTCTGGCACAAATTTTTTTTTCTTCTTTTTGTGACACACCCAGCGATGCTAAGGTGTTACTCTTGGCTCATGCACTCAGGAATTACTCCCGGCAGTACTCGAGGGACCATATGGGATGCTGGGAATCGAACCCGGGTTGGCCACGTGCAAGGCGAACGCCCTACCCATTGTGCCATCACTCCAGCCCACTGGCACAAGTTTTGCATTCTTGTTTGTTTGTTTGCTTTTGGCAGGGGCAGTGGTCAAATCCCACCCGGCCAAGCCCAGAGCTTACTCCTGGCTCTGCACTCAGGGATCACTCCTGACAGTGCTTGGGGACTCTACATAGTGCTGAGGATCAAACCATTTGCCTTGTATATCGGGTTCTGCTGCATGCAAGACAAGTGCCCCATCTATCCACTGTACTATCTCTCAGGCCCCAAGTTTTGCATCTTCTCAGCCAGAGTGCAGCAAATGACGAGACTCATTTCTAGAACATTCTCTCACACAACTCAGGATGTGACGGATGCACAGGAGGCAGGAAATGATGGCCCCAAGAAAGTCAGGAAGTGTGACCAGGAGAATGATCTAGCGTGAGAAACTGTCCGTCCATCTCAAGTTTCCTTGCAGCGAGTGTGTGATTTATCTGAGCAAGCGGCTCGGTCTGGGCGGGCTTTCCAGGACACAATTTATTTCATTAAAGGGCATGGGAACTGGAGAGAGAGGCATGGAAACAAACATTCCTCACATTGCTGAGGAACCCGCCTTCAAGTGCATGCTGATACAGTTTTTTTTAAATTTAATTGAAAAAAGGCAGTCCAGGAGCTGCAGCTATAGTATAGCGGGCAGGGCATATGCCTTGATGTAGCTGATTCTGGGTTCGATCATCTGCATACCATATGGACCCCCAAGCACCGCCAGCAGTAATTCAAGAGCACAGAACCAGGGGCCGGAGAGATAATACAGGGGGTAGGGTATTTGCCTTGCACACAGAGACCCAGCTTCGATCCCCGGCATCCCATACGGTCCTCTGAGCATGGCTCGACGTAATTCCTGAGTGCAGAGCCAGGAGCAACCTCTGAGCATTGCTGCGTTCAGCTCCCCCCTCCCCAGTAAAATCCAAAGGCGAGCTGGAGGGATGACTCAATGGGTGGGGCACATGATCTTCATTCAGGAGACCCCTATACGCTGCCTGAGTGACCCCCACCCCAACCACAGTCAAAAATAGCCCTTGAGCATGAGTGGGTGTGTCCAGTCCTGAGAGAGACAGAGACAGAGAATGAATCTATAGAAAGAAAGATGCGCCTCCTTAAGTTTCCTTGGGAGAAATTCGGGCAGAACTACATGGAACAGAGTGGACAGCTTTGCTGGAGGGAGATCAGAAGCAAGTCCAGCAAAAATGCTAATTTTGGGGGCCAGAGTGATAGCACAGGGGGTAGGACATTAGTTTTTTTTTTTTTTGCTTTTTGGGGTCACACCTGGTGATGCACAGGGGTTACTCCTGGTTCTGCACTCAGGAATTACCCCTGGCAGTGCTCAGGGGACCATGTGGGATGCTGGGAATTGAACCTGAGTCGGCCACGTGCAAGGTAAACGCCCTACCCGCTGTGCTATTGCTCCAGCCCCCTAGGACATTAGCTTTGCCATAAATAACTCCTGAGGGTAGAGGCAGGAGTAGCCCCTGAGCATTGCTGGATGTGGCCCCCGAAGCAAAACAAACAAACAAAATGCTAATTTTGTATTCACGTCATTTTGTTATTTTGCATGTCCAACCAACATGATTGGCGGTGAGCACCTGCCAGGCAAGTGCCCTCCATACTCTGTTCTCTCTCCAGTCCTCTTCCTGGCTTTTTCCCTAGTTTCTGGAAGCTTCCAGCAGTTGCAAGCCCAGATCCCCAGGATTCATGGTCTTTATATGTGTGGGTTTGTGACTCTTTTTGGGGAGGGAGGGTTGGGACCACGCCTCAGAGGCTATTCCTGGCTCTGTGCTCTGGAGTGACTCCTAGTGGTGCTCAAGGGAGCCAAATGCCATGCCGGGGAGACAACTGGGGTTGGCCATCTGCATGACAAGCACCTTAGCCCCTATGGTATCTCTCTGGCTCATGGGTTACCTTTGGAAAAAATCCCAAAGGTCCTTGGCAAGGAGTGATACAACTTACTCAGGGCAGAGCAGGTGCAAATGTCCTGGGGAGGGTCTCTTCCAGCTGCGGTCCAGAAGGACACAGTTTTGCTGGAGGGACTCAAGTGAGGGAACGCAACTCTGGGATTGGCCACTAGAGGTCACGCTTTCTGTGGTTCCTGGGGTCCCCAAAGCACCACTCAGTCTGCTGTTTTGCTTCTTCTGAGCCCCCAGTGGGCCTGAAATACCAGGCTAAAGGCTTTACAGGGCTTAACTCAGCTCCTCCCCCTGCACCTGACCTTCTTCGGACTTAGAAACATTTAGAATATTTAATAGTTTCATGGAGGTGTAATTGACATACCCTGCAAACCACAGACAACACTCCACTCGGAATCCTCAACTCTGGCAATCACTCAAGATACTGCAGCGATAGCATGCACACCACCCAGTTCCACCCCCAAGTATGGCAGGTTACAAAACTCTCCCACCTCCTCCCTGCTTTCCGCCCCCCAGGGATTGCCTGGCTGCATTCCTCAGTGTAGGTGACATGGCGTTTTCTGGAGCTGTAGAGATTCAGGAGTCTGGAGTAGCCTTTCTCCTCTGGGGGTCACAGGAACCCCAAGATAGTCCAAGGGTGGGGGGCAGAGTGCAATAGTACAGCGGGTAGAGTGTTCCTCTTGCATGCAGCCCATCTGGGTTCCATTCCTGTTGCCCGGGTTCCCCAAGGCCCCAGGAGTAATCTCTGAGCATATCTGAGTGTGACTCCCGAACAAATAGTCCCAGGGGGACCAAAAGTGAAAACTGAGTGAAGGCCAGGAGACTAGGGGGCCAATCAGTAGGACATGGGACCCAACAGGAGGGAAAGGTGAGAAGGGGACTATAATCAGCAAAAAGTTGGGGGCTGGAGAAACAGGAAATCACGGATGGCGCTGGCCTTGCACGCAGCTGACCGGGTTCCATCCTTGGCACCGCATAGGGTCCCCCAAGCCCCGCCATCAAGGACTGATCCTGGAGTGCAGAGTCAGGAGACAGCCCTGAGCACAGTCAGGTGTGGCCCCCCCCCCCCCCCGAATCAAACAAGAAAGAGGTAGAGAAACGCTTCCAGTGCTGCCGGGGCACTTCCCCCAGGGGAAAAGTGCATGATTTAATGTTGGGGAGAGGTGGGGAGTGCTGGTTTATTTCCCTCCGCAAATGATAGCAAATGATCGCGGTATCATAGCCCCAGTTGAAGTTCTGTGGGAAATTGAGGCACACAGAAGCGAGGCCTGAGTAGGGGAGCTGAAGGGACCGGGAGGGGGTAGCACAATAAAATACAACTCCTACATCTGGTAAAGGCCGCAGTCCCCAGGTAGGGGTGATCAACCTGCAGGTGAACCCGGGTGCCCGGGTCCCCTGGCAGGCAGGGCGGCTTTAATATCCCTAGGGGGCGTGGCCAGGCCGCCCAGGGGCGGGGCACCTGGGCCCAGGGGGCGGGCCCAGAACGCAGCCTTGGCCATCCAGGGGCGGGGATTCACGTCAGGGGGCGTGGCCGGAGGCGGGCCGCTGGCAGCCGAGGGGGCGGGTCTAGAACGGGCCCCTACCACCCAGGGGCGGGGATTCACGTCCGGGGGCGGACCGTGACGGCCTCGGGGGCGGAGCCTCGGGCCCCGGGCGGGGCGCGAGGTTCTGGGGCCTCCGATTAGGAGCGGCCGTGGCTGGGTCGCGCCTGCGCGCCGCGATAACCCGGGGCGTGGGGTCGGGCGCGCGGGGCGCGGGGCGGGCGCGGCGAGCACCGGCTCGGGGGCCGGGCGGCGGCGGGGCGGGGCGTCGGGCAGGCGGGGCCGCCCGCCTCCCTCCCCGGGCCCGGGGCCGCGAAGATGGCGGCGGCGGCGGCGGCGGCGTCCCGCAGCGGCTCCCGGGGCCCGGCCGCGGCGTCGGGGCGCGAGTAGCCCCCGGCCCAGCGCCGACCCCGGGGCCCCGTGCGCCCCCCGGCGGGCCCATGAACTCGGTGTCGCCCGCCGCCGCGCAGTACCGGAGCGGGAGCCCCGAGGACGCGCGCCGACCCGAGGCCCGCAGGCCGCGGGGGCCCCGGGGCCCCGACCCCAACGGCCTCGGGCCCTCGGGAGCCAGCGGCTCGGCTCCGGACTCGGGGGGCGCCGCTCGGGAAGAGCCGGACGAAGTGGACAAGTTGAAGGCCAAGTTCCTGACGGCCTGGAACAACGTTAAATACGGTGAGGAGGGGGCGGGTGTGGGGGGCGTGGGGGCCCCAGGGCTGAGCGCACCGGCCAGGGGCCTCGGAGGGGCCGTCGAGGACTGTGGGAGCCCAGGAGGACCCGTCCTGGGACCCTGCCGAGATACCCGCCTCCTGTCCATTTGTTCCCTGTCCCGTGAGTCACCTGCGGGTCCTCGGCCCCGCCCGGGCCTGCCCTGCCCAGGGCGAACCGGCTGCAGAGCCAGCACGGAACGTTTCGTTCGGGCGGGCGAACCGCTCCCTGCACCTCCACCTTCTGACTGTCAAGTGGGTGCATGATCCACAAGCATTGAGCCTCAAAGAGCAAACACTGAGGGGCTCAGTGGGTCCTCCACTCCCTTTCCCCCAGTGGCAGTGTGACACCCATTCCCTAGAGGCAGCACAGGTAGGGGCTGGAGCCACAGGACAGTGGGGGAGGAAGTTTGGGCTGACCTGGGTTCCAAGTCTAGCACCCCCTAGGGCCCTTTGAGCCTTGCTGGGAGTGATTTGCGAGCGCAGGGCCAGGAGTAAGGGCCAGGAGCATGGTTGGTGTGACCAAAAACAAAATGAACAAAATCCAAACCAAAACCAAGGCTGCTCTCGCTGGCTTTCGCAGGCGAGGGACCTCATTGTTGCGTTACTGTCTCCCCAGGTTGGGCTGTCAAAAGCCGAACCAGCTTCAGCAAGATCTCCAGCGTGCACCTCTGCGGCCGCCGCTACCGCTTTGAGGGTGAAGGTGAGCTGGAGGGCACCACCCCGGCACTCACACACATACACTCACACCCTCACACCCACACCGTCACATACATGCACTCGCACCCACTCATTTTTACTCACACTTGCACACATGCATTTATACTCACAACTCACACGTGTACACAAGCCTTTACACTCACACACCCTTGCACACACACTTATACTCACAACTTGCACACACACATTTACACTCATCCTCGCACATATACTCACACACTGGCACTGCTTCCCGGATGCCCTGTGTGCGGGCGGCTGATGACCTCTGTCTCCTAGGTGACATCCAGCGCTTCCAGCGGGACTTTGTGTCCCGCCTGTGGCTCACGTACCGCAGGGACTTCCCGCCGCTGGCCGGGGGCTGCCTGACGTCGGACTGCGGGTGGGGGTGCATGCTGCGCAGCGGGCAGATGATGCTGGCACAGGGCCTGCTGCTGCACCTCTTGCCCAGAGGTGAGTGGGCGCGCCCCTGGGCCTCCCTGGCACGTGAGAGGGTGTGGGGAGCAGGGGGTCCGAGCAACAGCACAGCGGGGAGGGTGCTGGCCCGGCACGTGGCCAACCCAGGTTCGATCCCTGGCACCCCATAAAGATCCCTGAGCACCACCAGGAGTGATCCCTGAGCACAGAGCCTGAAATCAGCCCTGAGCACCGCTGGGTATGGCCCAGAGTCAGATTAGGGGCCAGAGAGAGAGGACAGGCAGGGAAGGGCTGGCCTTGCACAGAGCCGAGAGGCTGAAGTTCCTGGCACCACATCGGGCTCCACAACCCCCGCGGGCGTGCCAGCCCCTGAGCATCACTGAAAAGTGGTGGAAAGTAGTTGAAAAGTGCGGGCGGCTGGGCCAGAGCCTCAGGTGCAGGATCGAGCCCTGCTGCCCCCAGCCCTGCTGCACAGGCGGCGCATGCTTGGCAGGGCTCCATCCCTGGCGCTGCATGGCCCCTGGAAGTGACTGCTGAGCACTGTGTCAGGAGTAGTTCTGAATCCCACCAGGTTTAACCCCCTTAGGTATATATGTATGTATGTAAGGAGCAAGTTGGAGAGGGCTCAGGGGTGCCGCTGACTGAGGTCCCAAGTTTGATCCTGGCACTGTCTGAACCACGGGCCCAGCCCTGCAGGGTGTGAACAGGGGCCGTCCAGCCTGGACCCCTGAGCCTGCCCATGAACCCTAGGGACTAAAGCCCAAGCGGATGAGAGCGGCTGCCCTTTGACCCTGCCCTCCACCCCCTCCAGACTGGATTTGGCCCGAGGGCGCAGGCCTGGTCCCCCCTGAGCCATCAGCACTGGCCTCTCCACTCCGGTACCGCACCCGCTGGGTGCCCCCACGCTGGCCCCAGGGTGCCCCCGAGCTGGAGCAGGAGCGCCGACACCGGCAGATCGTGTCATGGTTCGCCGACCACCCCCAAGCCCCCTTCGGCCTCCATCGGCTGGTGGACTTGGGTCAGAGCTCAGGCAAGAAGGCGGGAGACTGGTATGGGCCGTCGCTGGTGGCGCACATACTCAGGTGAGGACCCGCTGCTTGGGCCAGGGGGTGGGGGCGGGGGGCAGGCCCGGGACTCAGCCTGTCCTCCGCCCCAGGAAAGCTGTGGAGAGCAGCCCCGAGGTGGCCCGCTTGGCAGTGTACGTTTCTCAGGACTGCACAGGTAAGGGCAGGTGGCGGGCCAGGGAGCCACAGGCCTGCGCCCCCTGCGGCTTCCGGGTGCGGGTGGCCCGGGACCCCCAGGCTGAAGCACGTGCAGGATTGCCAGGCCCCTGCTCAGTGCAGTGGGTGGCCTCGGGGATGGAACTCTCGGCCCGAGCTTACCCACTGAGGCACTTTCCAGCCCCCAAAGATGCACTTTTTCTTTTTGGCTTCACACCCGGCGGTGTTCAGGGTCGACTCCTGGCTCTGTGCTCTGGGATTACTCTTGGTGGCGCTCAGGAGACTCTCCAGGGTGCTGGGGTTCGAACCTAGGGCCTCCCATGTGCAAAACAAATCCTGCCACAGGTGCCTTCCCTGCCCCCAGGAGCCCTTCCTGGCAGCGTGTCAGGGGTGCCTGACCTGTGTGAGGCCTGGGGTCCCGCTGCAGGCACTGAGCCCCTCTCTATCCCCGCCCCCCCAAAAGAAGCACAGAGCCACAGTCAGGCTGTGGGGATGGAACTCACAGCCTCATGTCTGCGAGACAGGTTGTCACCCAAGCCCTCCCCCAGCCCTGCCTCTTGATATTCTGAACCCCCCCCCCCGAACTGAATCCAGCATCCATCTGGATTCCCAAGCTGATGTGGGAGAGCCAGGGGTGGAGGGGGGCCCTGCGGGTGCAGTCCCCCTGGCTTCCTACTCCTGAGTGGACCCACAGTGGGAGTTCCCTCGCTGGGGGGGACCCTGGCTCTTTCAGCCTGGCTGCCCTCTGCAGAATGTGGCTCACAAGGGGGGAGGGGAGGGAATGTGCGTATGTGTGTGTGCACGAGTGTGTATGAGTGTGTGCGTGTAAGTGTATGAGTGTATGTGTGTCAGTGTATGTGAGTGTGTGTATGAGTGTGCACGTGAGTGTGTTAAGGGGGGCTGGGGAAATGACCCCCTTGATGAGCAGGTCACCCCAGAAGGTGACTGGGGATGAGGCTCAGCCGTGGGGCTCCAGGACCAGCTCTCGGGGTGGGAGGGCAAGTGAGGTGGCCCCCTCCACCCCCGCGCTTCCCCTCCTTCCAGTATACAAGGCAGATGTGGCACGCCTGGCGGCCAGGCCGGACCCTGCGGCCGAGTGGAAGGCGGTGGTCATCCTGGTGCCCGTGCGGCTGGGTGGGGAGACCCTCAACCCGGTGTACGTGCCCTGCGTGAAGGTAGGTTGGGCCCGCTGGAACCCCCGTCCACGGGGCAAAGGTGGCTGCCAATGCTCCCTGCAAGCTCGTCTACTCACTCCGGGGGTCCAGCACTGCTCCTCTGTGCCATGCCTGGAGGGGTGGGCTGGGGAGGGGTCACAGGGAAGAGGCACATGGGGTCCTGGGGCCGGAGTGATGGCACAGCCGGGAGGGCATTTGCCTCGCGCATGCCTGACCAAGGTTTGACCTTCAGCACCCCAGATGGTCCCCTGAGCACTGCTGGGAGTAGTTCCTGAGTCAGCCACGAGTGAGCCCTGTGCCCCACTGGGTGTGGACCAAAAGAGCAAAAACAGCAACAAAACAGGTTCCTCTGGGAGATGCCAGGAAGGGGCTCTGGAACCAAACTGACAACAGTGGGGGTACACCCTGGGCCCTGAGAGAAGCCAGGGAAGCCACTGAGAGAGTCAAGAAGACAGGACCCCATTCCTCAGCTGCCCCCTGCTCCAGAAAGTTCTGTCCTGGGGTCTGGGCAGCCCGGCAGGGCACCTTATCCCGGGCTCCCTCTGGTCTCTGCAGGGCCTGATTGCCCCTGGAGGCCCGTTCTGACAGCCCAGGTGCTTCTGGCTGGAGGTGGTTTTGTCTTTTTGTTGTTTTTGGTGGAAGCACTCTCAGTGATGCTCAGGGCTGACTCCTGCCTGCACTCAGGAAACTACTCCTGGCAGTGCTCAGGGAACCCTGTGAGATGCCGAGACCAACTCCAGTCAGCCGTTGGCAAGGCCAGCATGCTCCCTGTTGTGCTGCCCTGAGGTGTTTCTCGCCTGCCCGAGGTCTGGGCCCCAGGAAGCACCTGCTCCTGCTCCTGGCTGAGCTGCTTAGAACGGCCGAAGCAGTCGGCCTGCCCACTGCCCAAGGGCGAGGGTGCCCACACATGATGGGCCGCCCTTGAATCTGCCCCCTCTGCCCCCCAGGAGCTGCTGCGCTCGGAGCTGTGCCTGGGCATCATGGGGGGCAAACCACGTCACTCACTCTACTTCATCGGCTACCAGGGTGAGTGCCCCCTCCGTCTTCAGCCCCCAACCCGCCTCCCTCGCCTCCTCTCATCCCTTCCTCTGCCCCTCCAGATGACTTCCTGCTCTACCTGGACCCCCACTACTGCCAGCCTGCTGTAGACTTCAGCCAGGCTGATTTCCCCCTGGAGGTGAGCTGGGGGGGACAGGGGGTGCCCTCCACCAAGTGCAGAGGGAGGCAGGGAGGAGCTGGCGCCCCCTGAGCTTCCCTTGTCGGTGCACCCCAGTCCTACCACTGCACCGCACCCCGCAAGATGGCCTTCTCCAAGATGGACCCCAGCTGCACTGTGGGGTTCTACGCTGGAGACCGGAAGGAGTTTGAGAAGCTCTGCTCTGAGCTGACCAGGGTGAGCCGGAGGCAGGGCTAGGGGTTCTGACCATGAGCCGGATGCCCGGCTGGGCTTGGAATAAGGGGCATGAAGTTCTGGGCCTTTGGCGACAGCTGTGTCCAGGGAGTAGTGGCAGCCCCCCTCAATGCTTATGGGTAAACAGCGGCAAGAGGGCCCAGAGGTATAGTCCAGCAGAGCGGGTGGTTACCTTGCACGCAGCTGACCCGCGCTGGATCCCCCGCACCCCATTTGGTCCTCAGAGCCACACTGGGAGGAGTGATGTTGAGCACCTCTAAGTGTGGGCCTGCCCCCCAGCAATCCCAAGGCTGCCTTTCATTGGCAGTTGTGGGTCACGTGCTCGTGAGCGCCAGTTTCTGGGAGGCGGCTGATTGGCTGGTGTGGAAGGGAGGGTCTCGTCCTGAAAGCACCGCACTGAGCCGCTCTTGCTCCTTCCGCCAGGTCCTCAGCTGCTCCTCGGCCTCCGAGCGCTACCCCATGTTCACGCTGGCCGAGGGCCACGCTCAGGACCACATCCTGGATGACCTCGGCTCTCAGTGTACACCACGGCCACCAAGGCCAGGCCGGCCCAAGGCCAAGCGCCCCAGCTCTGAGGACTTTGTGTTTTTATGAAGGGAGGGGAGGGAGAGATGCAACAAACACTATTTATTTTTCTATTTATGTCCTGCTGCTGGGGGAGCAGGCGGAGGGGGAAGGGGGTTCCTGGACCTCCGGGGGGGATGGAGCACCTCACCCCTCAACTCTAAACTTGCACAGCTTAAACCTCCGGGCAGGGGCTCTCCACTGGGAGCAGAGCAGCCCTGGCCACCCACTCAGGGTCAGACTCAAGTACTGTACTTGGCACTGGACCCCCACACCCCCCACTGGCCCCCAAGTCTCTTCCACACGCCCCCACTGGCCCTCAAATCTTTCCCGGTGGCAGTGAGGGTGAATAAAGTCCTGCAATTTGACCAACCTGGCTGCCAGGGTTGGGGGGGGGTGGGGGCTGGGTTCTGATGAGGGGTTCCAGACAAGTCCCCTCAGGGGCCGTTGGCAGATTGCTGCTGCTTCCGGCGCCGGCGGCCCAGCTGGCGGAAGTGCAGTCTTTTGGGGTTCAAGCCAAAGGCCTGCAGCCTCTGACGGCTGAACTCGTGGCCACCAAGAGTCACCGTGGGGCCCAGCAACCGCGCCTTCTTCGCCTTCCTGCGCCTCTGGGGGGCTGGGTCTTCCCGCACTGGGGGTATCTCTGGGGGTGGCCGCTTGCAGCCAACCCCATCGGGTGCGGGCAACTGCCCCTGCAGGCCAGATGTGTCTTTCTGTGGCTTGTCCGTGGCTTCCGTGGGTGACTCTGTCCTGGAGGCAGGGAAAGTGGAGGAGGGGCTTTCAGCCCGGGCCCATCACCCCAACACCGCCACTCTTACTACAGGTGAAAGCGGGGCTCAGAGGTGCCTTCAGATCTGGGCTGGTGCGTGTGCAGGGCCTGCCCTGAGCTCTGTGCTCAGGGATTGGGCAGCTGCCGGGCCGGGTCTATACAACCCCCACACCCAGGTCTCTTTGCTTCACTGTTTTGGAGCTGCCCCTGGCAGTGCTCTAGATCCAACAGGGATTCAATGCAAGCAAGGCCGAACCAAGTCCTGACCTTGGTCTAACTCACCTCGCCTTGAAACTTAAAACCCAAAACCAAAGATGAGGTGGCCGTGGCTGAGTGCCGGTGTCGCTGGTGTGAGACCCTGGGATTCCATGGCTGGCCTCACTAACACACAAAAGAACCAGCCACCCTCGTTTTTATTTCTTTTTGTGGGGAAAAGGCCACACCTGGCGATACTCGAGGGTCACTTGGCAGCTTTGTTTCAGTGCTATCCTGAGGATGGCCACATGCAAAGCGAGCGCCTGATGCCCCGCACCATCTCCTGAGCCCCAAGACACAGGCAACCCGCCCAGCCCACAGCCCGGCCAAGATGCAAACACAGTGACTGTAACAGAACGAGGCCCCACCCAGCCGCACTCACCCCTCCCAGAGCGACTTGAAGATCTGCTGCTTCTTCCTGGAGTTCTGCGCCTTTTGCATGTAGGCGCGCTTGTCCTGCAGCTCCTCCTGCTCCGACCTGCGTGTGTTTGGGGGCACAGCTGTGGCTGGGGTGTTCTGGGAGGGGCTCCCCCCCCCCCGGCTGCTGTCCACCCACCCCAGTCACCTGTACATGCAGGTCTTCTTCAGAGAACACCAACGGTTCAGCTCCTTGTCATCCGCCGCTAGGATCTGCGGAGAGGGGGGTGGCGAGGGGTGGCAGGGTCCAGTTGACAAGACCCCCTCAGGTGAATGAGGCTCGGGGAGGGGCTGAGCTGAGATCCCACACACTGCTGGGGGCCGGTGCCTGGAGCAGGTTCCTGTGGATCCCACCTGGATTCCAGGCCCCGGATCCCCCATTTTGTGAAGGAGGCTCCCCCAGAACATATGGGAATGCAGGCAGCAGCAGCTCAAGGAAAGCTCCCGTGACCGGGTAGGACAGATAAGCAGGGCTCGGGGCTACAGGGACAGGCGGTGCATGCTGGCTTCCACCCCCAGCATCGTGTGGATCCGAGCACTGAGCCAGGAGCCCCCGAGCACTATTGGCTATGGCCCAAACTCCCTCAGGAAAGAGCCGGGCAGGGCCGGACAATAGTACAGTGGGTCGGGCATTTGCTTGCACGTGTCCAACCAGGGTTCAATCCCTGGCATCCCAAAGGGTCCCTCGAGCACCACCAGGAGTAATTCCTGAGTGCAGAGCCAGGAGTAATGCCTGAGCAGTGCTGGGTATGGCCCAAAACCAAAACAAATAGCCACGCAGGGGGCAAGCGATGGTCCAGCAGGAAGGACGCTTGTCTTGTAGGCGGGTCCCCCCGATTTGATCCCCAGCATCCCTATGGTTCCCTGAGCGCTTCCAGGAGTAACTCTGGAGTACATAGCCAGGACTAAGCCCTGAGCACTGCCAGGTGTTGTGGGCCAAGAGAAACTAAAAAGGGTCACACACTGCATTTCTAGCGTGAGTAGATGCAGTCGGATGGGGAAACTAAGGCACCAGCGTGCGGGTTACTGTCTTATGCTCCCTCATGTCTCGCAGGGTCCCAAGGTCCCTCACCTCCTCAGTACTGAGCCCGAAGTCACAGGGCACCACGGCGCGGTACTTGAAGCGACAGGGCAGGTCATCGATGATGTCCTCGTAGTCCAGCCGGTAGTACTCGTCCAGGTACTGCTCAAAGGACCCGTCGCCTGCTCGGGACAGAGCCAGCTGCCAGGGTGTGCCCCCCTGCACCCCTGTACCCACTCCCTGCTGTCCCCCGTGCCCCCTGCACCCCCAGCTGCCTGCGGGCCTCACCAGGCTGGAACAGCGGCTTGTCCTGCTCCACGGCGGCTGCGAAGGGCGATTTCCGCTTCTTCTTGCCCGTCTCGGGGGCCGTGTACTGCTTCCTCCGGGGCTGGCTGGGGTCGTAGTCGGCGTCCATCTGCCAGGATGCAGGGGTCAGGGCAGCCCGGAGGGACCCCTGACCCCCGCTCCATGCCCGCGCTCCCGGGGCACCTACGTTGAAGTCGGGGTCCTCACAGTGTGGCTCCTGCTGCTCCCCGGGCCCCGCCCACGTGTCCCAGTTCCAGTCATCTGCTGGGCGACACGCGGGCCAGGGCTCAGGAGGGGCTTGGGCTGTCGGGCCCCCGCACCCCGAGTCCCAGGGTGACCTCACCCTCCAGGCCTTCCTCTTCCTCAAACTGCGGCTTCTCCTCAACGGTGCTGTAGTACTCGTCCCCGAAACACTTCTGCAGAGACACGGTGTTGGTGGGGGCCCAACGCCCTCCCCGCGCCCGCCTGCCCCTCTGGGGCTCCCCCGTCTCTCCCTGCCCACTGCTCCACCAGCTGCCTGGCCAGGAGGGGCCGGGCCGGCTCTGTGGCCACCCCGCGGCACCTGCATGAGCCGGTCATGGCTGGCGGGGTCGAAGTCGGCCTCCAGGTCCCGCGCGTCCAGGCCGAGCGAGGCGTTGCCCGTGACCTGCCGCAGCCGCTCCAGCTTGGCCGCGATCTCCTTCCGCTTCAGGTTCTTCAGCTGCTTCAGCTCCTCCCGCTTCTTGGCCTTCTCCTGGGGGAGGCGGCGTGGACATGGGCGTGGGCAGCCTGGCCGAGGCGCCCCCCGCCGCCCCCGGGCCCCCCACACTCACCCTCTTCTTCCGCTCCCGGGTCTCCTCCCTCCGCTCCTTCCTGCGCTCATCCTTGCGGCGCACGGAGGACGCGATGCTCCGGGGGTAGGTCTTGACCTGTGGGGGACCAAGCGGGGGAAATGGAGGCTCCTTGCACCCAGGGCACCCACATGGGCCACCCCAACCCCAGTGCCCCCCCCAACACCCACCGACGCGGAGTCTGGCTCCTCGAAGCGGAAGTTGTACTTGTGCTCAAAGTCCTCCTGCTTCCTAAGGAACAGCTCCCCCTCGTCTGAGGAGTCCTCCACAGCCAGCTGCACAGGGGCGCCAGGGACCCTGAGGAACAAGCTGGGCTGGAGTGGAGAGTGCGGCGAGCTCTGCCACCCATGGGAGCCCCCAGAAACTCCTTTCATGCCCCCACAGGCACCCGTGAGCAGGGACTAGAGCGACAGGGCAGTGCATTGGGGGTTTGCCCTCGTGGCTGATGTGGGTTTGGTCCCCACCAGTCCATAGGGTCCCCCGAGCAACACTAGGAGTGATTCTTGAGTGCAGAGCCAGGTGTAAAACCTGAGCATTGCTAGGGATGACCCAAAAAACCAAAAAAAAAAAAAAAAAAAAAAAAAAAAAAACACACCAAACAAACCCAAACCCCCCCCCCCCCCACCACACACACAACAATCCTTGAGCAACAACTCTGCCCATCTCGCAGATGGGAAAACTAAGGCAGAAAGTAACGGGATCAGGACCAGTGCTCAGTTGGATCATGTCCTCAAGGAGGGATTCACTGTGGTAGAAGCCCCTTGCTAGCTTCTGGGGGCCACAATCCCTCACCCTTCCTCTTCCTCTTCCTCCTCTTCCTCTTCTTCCTCCTCATAGCCTTTGTTGAGGATGTAATCCCGCAGGAATCGCTCCCCCTCATCCAGCTCTGGGTTGTTCCAATACTCCTTGAGGTGGGTCTGGGGAACACAGAAGCCTGGTCAGCGGTGGGAGAGAAGGAGGTGGGGTGGGGGAGAAGGGGGCGTGGAAACCAAGGAGTTGCTATTCTGGTTTGGGGGCCACATGGTGCTCAGGGCTTATTCCTGGCAGCACTGGGGGATCAAACCAGGCGAGCCGCTGCACTGTCCTCCCATTGTTCACTGATTTGCTCGAGCAGGCCCAGTTAACGTCTCCGTTGTGAGACTTGTTTCTGTGTTTGGTGTATCGAACACGTCATGGGGAGCTTGCCAGGCTTTGCCGTGCGGGCGAGATACTCTCAGTAGCTTGCCAGGCTCTCCCAGAGGGGTGGAGGAATTGAACCTGGGTCAGCCGGGTTGGCCATGTGCAAGGCAAATGCCCTACCTGCTGTGCTATCGCTCCAGCCCCAGGTGAGCCACATGTAAGGCAAATGCCTCACTCCCTGGACGCCCTGGCCCTGAGCCAGGTGAGTTTAAGTGGCCAAATCCTTGCAGCAAGCATGCATGTGTGTGTGTCTGGCCCCATTTCACAGATGGATAAACCGAGGCGCCTCTGGGAAAGGACAGGCAGAGCTGGAAGGGGTGTTCTGGCCCCACAGACTCACAAGCTCTTCCAGGCCGGGGGAAGCATCCGTCTCCTTCTGCCCCTTGAGCCAGTTCACGTAGTCAGCGTCCTCCTGGGCCTGGGGGAAGGCTGGGCTGAGGGTCTGCGGGAACCCCCGAGGCCGGCCCCACCCCTCCCAGGCTGGGGAACTCCCCCAGTACCCACTTTTTCCTCCCGGGTCTTGGCTCGTTTCTGCAGCAAGCCGGAGCCCCCTTCCCCGGCGCTGTCCTCATCGTCACTGTCCTCCACAAATGGCCGGAAGCTGCCCATGCCAGAACAAGACTCAGGACACGCGGGCCAGCGGCCACCGTCACCCAGGGTTCAGCGGGACGCGGGTGGGACTGACTGGTCGCCGCTCACCTGTCCTTGAGCTGTTTCTGTTCCTCCACGTAACTTTGTGACGAAAACTGCTGGAGAAGGCAGTGACGAGGTTCAGACCCAGCCCTGCACCCCTCAGATCCCCACCACCCCTGGGGTGCCCCTCACCTGTCTGGAGGGCTCCCCATCCGAATTGTCCTCATCGACGTATTTGCTGCAGGTGGATGGGGGAAAATCAGAAGGGGTCCGTGTACCCCTGGGAACGGCAGGAGACCCGGGGGGCCCAGGAAGGAGTCCAGGAGGCCTCACCCTTCTTTCTCTAAGATGACCTTCCTCTCATAGTCCTTCAGGAACATGGGCCGGACCTTCTTCCGGCTCTGCGCAGTGGCTGGCTTTTCTTCCTCCTCGCTCTCTGAGGTCGAGGCTGTGGGGTAGTCAGACACCCTGTCACGTACCACCACGGCCCCCTCCTTCACAGGCAGAGAATCCCACGGGGATGGTCTAGGGGGACCCCACCCTCAAAGCTCAAAGCCACGGGGCCAGAGCAGACAGCAGGGGTTGGGAGGGAGGTTGGCCTTGCATGCGGCCAACCTGGGTTCAATCCCCAGAATCCTGTATGGTCCCAAGCAACGCCAGGAGTAGCCAGGAGTAACCCCTGAGCATCACCGGGTATGACCCAAAAAGCCAAAAAAACAAAAAATGAAAAGAGAAAAAAAAATCCCTAAGTCAGGGGCCAGGGCAACAGTACAGCAGGGAGGCCGCTTGCCTTTCATGCAGCCAACCCGGGTTCAATTTCCCCTGGCATCCCATAGGGTCCCCTGAGTCCTGCCAGGAGTGATTCCTGGGCAGAGCCAGGAGTCAGCCCTGAGCACCATCGACTGTGGTCCAAAAACCAAGACAAAAAAAAATCCCCAAAGCAAGCAGACAGATGGCACAAAGGTCTTTGCACAGACTGCCATGTGAGAGTTCTGGGTCTGATCCCCGGCTCTACCTGGGTCCAGGTCACAGCTGGGACCAACCCTCAGGGAGAGCCTGAGCAGACCCGGAGCCCCGCCAAGTGTAGCTCCAGAGCCCAACCAAGCCCCAGGTCACCATCTTCAGGAGTGAAAACGGGGGTCATGTGGTGGCACTCCCAGCCTTGGGGGCTGTGACTTCACGGCGTTATCAGCACAGGACAGCAGCCAGGGTGCGTGAGCACTGTTCACGTCCACAGGGATGATCAGCTGAGACACTCTGCTAAGTGAGCCAGGTCTGATCCCCGGCACTCCCAAGGGTCCCCAGCACCGCTCCAGGAGTGGTCCTCAAGCAGAGTGTGGTCAGGCGGTAGCCTGGCCGGGAGTGGGTAGGTGGTGTCACCTGTCTTCTGATAGAAGGTGGCATCCTGCTGGTAGATGCGAGGGTCCTTCTTCTTCAGCAAGGAGAGAGTGCGGTAAAAGTCACGCTCCTGCTGCGGGTCAAATTCCTAGGATGGGTTTGGGGGGCAGGGAGGGACGTCAGAAGGGCGGCAGGGGTGGGGGATGCTGCTGAGCCCAGAGTGGACAGGGGCAAAAGAGGGGGAACAGCAGAACAGGTGCAGGTGGGGGAGGGGCAAGGGGACCGGTCTGAGTAAGGAGGGGGGAAAGGTGGAGGAGACTGAAACTTTTGGGGAGCAGCCATGAAGGACGCACAGGTTCCAGAAAAGGGACCAGGTATCATTTCTTGAGCCCGACAAGGTAGGGGCAGAGGCTGGTGGGCACCGGCGGGACCGTGAAGCGGGGAGGGGTCATGGGGCCTGATGTGGATGGGGGGGGGCAAGCCCGCACAGAGGAGCTGGGGGGCTTCTGGGGGTGACTCAACCATTGGGGAGGTCGGGGGGGGGGTCGATGGCGGGGGCGCGGTGGCAGTTGATGGCGCTGTCGGTTCCACGTTCGATGCTTTTTTTTTTTTTTTGTAGGGGGGAGATTCTTCCGAACACCAAGACTACGGGGCTCCGGGGCTGGAGCGACGCGACAGCGGGGAGTGCGCGGGCCCTGCGCCCTCAGCACCGCCGGGTGGGCTTGCTGAGCGCCGAGCCAGGAGTCAGCCCCGAGCACCGCCGGAGGTGACCCCCAAAACCGAACAAAAAGGAAAGGAAACGGCGCACGGGGTGCGGGGCGGCGGGCGCGGCCCGGGGGACTCACCACGCGCTCATCGCTGGAGTCGGACTCGGAGCTGGAGTCGCTGTCCGGGTCCCCATAGCGGTCCTTCACTGGCGGCATAGACGCCCGTCAGGCCCGCCCCCGGCCGCCTCCAGCCGCCCCCCGCGCGCGCCGCCCCGCACTCACGCCGCTGCAGCTCCTCGCGCTCCCGGTAGCGGCTGTAGCGCGCGGCGAACGCCTTGTTCACGCGCAGAGGAGACACTGCCCGGGGTTCCGGCATGGCGCCGCGCGGCCCACTGCGCACGCGCGCGGCCTGCGCGCGGACGGGGCGGGGCTTTCCCGGGACACGCCCAGTTGTGGCTCCCGACGGGGCGGGGCCTCGCGGTTCTTCCGGGATCCCAGGCGGCCCGGAACCGCAGTCCCCACCCACGGCCACGCCCCTGCCGGGGAAGCACAAACTCCCCTGCCGCCGCGCGCCCCCTCCACCCACGGGGCTCCCGGCACCCAGCTGACATCTGGGGCCCTTTCTCCACTCGCGGTTTCCTGCCTCCCTTCCGTTCTGACTAGAGTAAACCGCGGCCCCACCCAGCTCTCTCGCTCGCCCCGAGCACCCTGGGAATTACTCCTCTCCCTTCCCCTCCCCCAAAACGTACCCCGGAGCGTGCGCGACGCACAAGCCCCCCCCCCCCCACCGACGGTCGCCCTGTCCCGGGTGCAAAATATCAAGAGAAGCTTCCGACGCGGGCACCTTACACAAGTCTTAATTTAATGGGTAAAATCGTTAAATTATCACACTTTTTTTTCAATCAGGCTTAATAAATAGGTTTAAAAAACAAAAACGAAAATCGCTATACAAGAGATGGGAAAATAAGCTTCCAACCAATTCGGAAAAGGCTCATCCCACCGGCTCTTATATCTGGGGCGCACCCCTCCCCCGGCCCCAAGCAGGGCGCACTCCAGAGGTTTCTCTTGGTACCGCAAGCCAAGGTCGCCAGGAGCCCTGGAAGTGGTGACCTCATTCTCTCTGGGGTTGGGACTTTAAATGCTCTCTGCCCTGTGGGTCAGACGGTCGTCCAAGGGAGGAGGAAAAAGAACCGTTTCCTGAATATTGCCTGCATCAGCCTTTCTCCCATCAACACATCAGAAAGGGGCGAGAAAAACAAACGAGAAATGCCAGCCCTTCACACAAGGGCACACACCCCAGAAATCCACACCAACAAGCCACAAACCTGGGTCCCACCCCCTTCGGGCAACGAGGCTGGAGGAACTGGGGAGAAAAAGTGAATTTTCCACCAGCCTCCTCTTCTGAAATGGAATTCGTCAGGGTCCCTTTGCCGGTTGTGGGGGAGGGAGATGCGAGGGGTGGGGGACAGGTCACAGTGGGGCCACTGTGTGTCCCACCAGAATGTCCACGAGCTCCTGGGCCCCTTTCCCCCGTGCCAGGTCGAGGGGCGTTAGGCCACTGGCGTCCCTGTGATGGAGGTCGGACTCCAAGGCCAGGAACCTCACCACCTCCTTGTGACCCTCCCGGATGGCCAGATGGATGGGGAGGGACCCCGTGCCATCGGGGGTGTTCACATCAGCGCCATGATCCACCAACAGTCTCAGGGTATCCAAGAATCCCGTGCGGGCGGCATCATGAGCGGGGGTAGCCCCAGTGGTGTCCTGGACATTGGGGCAGGCCCCTTGCTTCAGGAGTTCCAGGGCGATGGCCGGGCTGCCGAACATCATGACCTGGGCAGTGGACACAAGACAGAGGATCAGGAAAGAGCACATGGAAAGAAAAAATCTCAGGGAATAAAAGCAGCTGGCCCCACAGCTGTCTGAGACATGGGAGACTGGGTCACATCCCCTAGGAACTGCTGCTCCCCCCCCCCAAAAAAAAACCCTTGATCATCCCTATAATTAAGACGCCATCCAGAGGAGCCCCCATAGAAGCTTCCAAGACATCTGGAGACAAGCTGGGGGTCCAGGCTCATGCCTTGTATGCAGCGGACCCTGGATTGAATCCCCAGCACGGCGGGACTCCCCAAGGCCCAGCACCAGGGGGAGAGGGGCAGCCAGCAGGTATTGGGGGACTTGCTTTAAATCTGTAGCCCTTTGGGCTGAAAATCACCCAGCCCTCCTGAGCACTGCTTAAGAGCCTCCTCCCCCCAAAGGACAATCAGAGATAGTAAAACACCTCGGTGCCCCACCCCCAGCCGGCAGGGAACAGTGACGCCCAGGAGACTGGAACCACCTTTTCCAAGGAATAGACCCCCCACCCCAGCAAATAACGGAGGGGCTGGTTAAAGAGCCGCTCAAGAAATGGGTTTCCTGGATAAACGCCCACACCCCCTGAGAACAGGCACCCCGTACAATATGTGCCAATTCCCCCACTGCACCCCTCTAACAAACCAGGGGGGGAGGGACACAAGTCGAAAACAGCCGTCCCCTCCAAACGGAACCACCCCATCCCGAGGGCAGGGGGACGCGCTGGAGTCATGAATCCCGGTTCCCAGGGCCGGGCGCTCGCCTTGGAGTCATGCGGACGAAGCCCAGAGCCAAAGCAAAGGAGCCAGCAGGCGCGTCCCTCGGGAAACGGGGTCCCCTCCCCCACTCTCCGCCTTCCCCCTCCAAAGGAGGCTCCCCCGAAGGCAGACGGCGTCCAGAGTCGGGGAGGCCGAGGCGAGGACGAGGAGGAGCGGGGAGGGGGTGCACGGCCGGGCCTCACCTGCAGCGCCGTGTGGCCGAAGCGGTTGAGCGCGTCGGGGTGCACCAGCTCGCGGGACAGCAGGCGGCGCACCTCCTGCACGTCCCCGCGGGCCGCGGCCCCGCTCAGCCGGTCGCCGGCGTGGACCTCGTCCAGCAGCATGTCGACGATACTCGGGCAGGCTGCGGGGAGCGAGAGGGGGAAAGCACAAAAGCCCGCCCGAGCGCGGAGAGGTCAGCGGCGGGCGCCCGCTGCTAGGGGCCCCGACCAGACGGCTCCAGGCTCCGGCGCGACCCCCGCGGCCGCCAGCACCAGGTCCAGCTCCCGGGACCCGGCTCCTCCCCCCTGTCACTCTCCGCGAAGCCTGGCCCAACCCTCGAGGAAGCGCAGGGCCCGGCCCGGCGCCCGCCCCTTAGGGGCCGGCTCTGCCCCGACTCACCCGCTCCTCCTCCGGCTCGGGCGGGGTCTGGTCTGAGCCGCCGTAGCCGCCGCCGCCTCACCGCCCTCCGGGGGGCGGAGCCAACGCGCCAGACCCCGCCCCCGGACGGCGCCGATTTGTTTTTCTACGAACTGGCTACAAAGTCGCGGGGGCGGCATTGGCCGGCGCGCGACCCGGAGGCGCCCCGCCCGCGCGACAGCTCAGCCAATCACCACGCGTCTCCGGGGGGGAGAGGCAGGACTGGGCGCGCCGGCGTGGGCGGTGCCTCCCCTGATTGGACGAGCCGCGGCGACCGGTGGACTGTGGGGCCTGGCGGGGTTTTCGGTTTTCAAACGCGCTCGGCAGGCGGGAAAGATGGCCCGTTTAACTGACCCGGGGAGGGAAAAAGGTCAGAGGCCTTTTGCCTATAGGCGCGGGCTGCTCCGAGAGGCACTTTTGGGAACTGCGCAGTCTGGAGTTCCACCAACCTTAACCCGAGATGGGTAGAGCATGCATGCATACATGCATGAGTGCACTCATTTATTCTCCTGCTATATAGGGGAAACTGGCCCGCGCTGGGAGAACATTTTAAAGCGGCGCGACACTTTTTCTTGAAGGGGGTATGGGGCTTTGGTGTGGGCATACGCTGTGGTGCTAGGGGCTGCATGCGACTCTGGAGTCGCTGGCAATGGTGCTCAAGGTAACAAGCTATGCTCGGGGTTCAGGGACCCTGCTTGCAAAGCATGCTCTCCAGCATTTTTTGGGGGGGAGGGGTCACACCCAGCAATGCACAGAGGTTACTCCTGGTTCTGGACTCAGGAATTACTCGTGGCGGAACTCAGAGGACCATATGGGATTCTGGGAATAGAATCCGGTTCGGCCGTGTGCAAGGCAAACGCCCTACCCGCTGTACTATTCTTCTAGCTCCGCTTTCCAGCATTTTGACCCATTTCCCCAAGCAGCTGTACATGCGATGCTCAGGGCTTTCTCCTTGCCCTGCAGTCAGGGATCTCTCCTGGTCTGGCTCAGGGGACCATATATGATGCCTGGAACTGAACCTGGGTCGGCAAGAGCCCTCCCTGTGAACCATCTCACAGACTCAACAGCACAATACTTGTAAAATAAACACCCACCGTGGGGAGCTGGGACGGGACGGGACGGGACGGGAGGATGGAATTGCATCTTCCTAGTTCAGATTGCTCCTACACTGGCCAGGATGGAAATCCCCACCCGCTGGTGGCCTCCAGGGTGGGACTCCATAGCTCCTCCTCGGGGGGCCTTCTTCAATACAAAAATTTCCTGGGCCCGGAATGTGGAGTAGGCGCCCCTCCCGCCCAGTGACCAAGGAGACAGGTGAAGACAATCAAATCTTCATCGTCCTGTGGACATGGTTAAACAGGGAGAGTGCTACTCTTTGGGGAATAAAGGTGGTTGCAATAGACCGGTCCCCGAGGGCTTGAGAAGCCTCTGAGAGAGAGGGCATTTGATTTGAGAGAGGAAGGTGTGTCTTGTGAGTGTCTTGTGTGTCTAGGTGTCTAGAAAAGCGTGTTTTGGGGGAGAGAGGGAGGAGGTGAGAGCGGGGACAGGAGGTAAAGCAGATCAGGTCAGTGGGCCCAGTTAGCATTTGACTTTTGTTTTCTTTTCAGGTCACACCTGGCTCTGCACTCGGGAACTACTCCTGGCGGTGCTCCGGGTACCCTGTGGGATGTCGGGGATAGAACCCGGGGTGCGTGTGGCACTATCACTCCAGCCCCAGCATTTTCTTTGAACAAAGGGGTGGGGAGTGGGGTGGGCACCTGAGCCGCTAGTACGGCCAAGAGCTGACTTGGAGGCTTGCAGGCGCCCTCTGGCGTCCGAAAGGGGGATTGACTGTAGAAGCAGGCGTTTGGGACCCCCGCGGAGTAGAACTGTGAGTGAGGGAAGGCTGCCCGTGACCCACTCCCAACCCTCCCTCCCTGGCGACCCCAAACCCAGTCAAGAAACACATACACCGCGACTGGAGTCATCATTTTAATGCCATCTTAAAGGTCAGGGATGGGGAATAGGGACGGTTTCCCACACCACCCCCGAAGGTAGATCACTGCAGAAAAGGCACTTGTGAGGTAGGACCTCAGCCCCTCCCCTATACTTCATATACAACAGGGGGTGCCCGGAGAATCACGGGAACACCCGCCTCGTCCTGGTCTCTGAGCGGAATGAAACAGCTGGAGAACATGAGCTGCACAGTCCGGGTGCCCCTCCCAAGGGCACCCCATCCTCTCTCCTGTCGGTGGCCTGGAAGTGCCTAGGGAGAGGGCGCCAGTCTCCAGACCCTTCTCTCCACCCTCCTAGGTGGTTCGAAGTTGATAATCTGCCAGGAAACAAGAACGGGACTGAGCTAAGATGTGGGGAGAGGGGCTGAGGCCCCAGAAAAAAACCAAAACCAAAACCTTTATGCTTTGTCCTCAAGTCCATGCTCAAACCCTAGAGTGGGGGCTGGAATGATAGTACAGCAGGTTGTCCTTTGCCTTGCACGTGGCCCACTGGGTTCAATCCCTGGCATCCCAGTTCCCCGAGCCCCACCAGGAGTAATTCCTGAGTGCAGAGTCAGGAGAAATCCCTGAGAAACTCTGGGTATGACCCAAAAAGCAGGGAAAAAGAAAAAAGAAAAAGGCAAAGGGAGTGCTCATGCAGGGCAGGAACCATGTTGGTGGGATCCCTTAGTGCCCATTGTACAGATGGGAAAATTGAGGTCCAGGCAGCTATAGGGTTCAAAACAGCCTGGGATCAGGCAGGCTGCACAAGGGAGGTGCCCACGTTCCCAGCCTGGATGTAGCCTGAGCCCCACACCCTTGCCAACACACAGACTCACCCCCGCTCTGGGTGATGTATCGCACCCAGGGCAGTGCCTGGTACCCACTCTTCTCAATGATCTTCATGTACCGCACCTAGAATTACACAGAAACGGGGGGGGGGCTGGGGGGAACATGCACGGGAAATGGGGGGGGGGGCCGAGGGAGGACTCGGGCTGGGAGGTTGGGGGTGATGGGCTTCAGGGCCCAGGTGGGCAGTGGGTGGGAAGGTGAGCCAGGAAGTGGCAGGAGAGAGAGGGCACAGTCTGAGACACATACCGGGGCCTGGGGCGACCTGGGCTAAGAGCAGAAGTGGAGATACTGACCCCCAGAGAGCCAGGACAGGGGATGGGAAGCTCCAAATCGCCCCAGGTGCCCATGTCCCTCACCTGGATTCCAGAGACGGTGAAATAGGGGATCTCAAACTTGACCCCAATGGGGGGCCGGCCCTCCACCTCCTCCTTCTCCACGCTGGGCAGGCCAAAGTGGGCACGCATCAGGTACTCCTTGCCCCCCTGAAGGCAGGTGGGGGGCATCAGACATGTCATGGGGGTCCCTACGCACCCCAAACCTTCCCCACAGCAGCTTCAGGTCAGGGCCTACTCAGCCCATTTCCCAGATGAAGAAAGTAAAGGCCCGGATGGACAAGAAGCAGTTTAAAGGGCTGGAGCACATCATTTGCATGTAAGACTCTGAGTCAAGCCTGAGTACCACCAGAATGATGCCTGAGCACCAAGCTAGGAGTACCTCCAACCTAGCTGACATTTCCAAGGGTGGCCCCAAGACCCCAGAAAGGAACCAAAAGTACAGTTCAGTGAGAAGACCCTGGCTTCACACAGAGCTGACCCGGATTCGATCCCTAGTACCACATAGGGTCCCCTGAGCCCTTCCATGAGTGATCCCTGAACACTACCGGCTGTAGCTCCAAACCACACACACACACACACACACACACACACACACACACACACAAACACACAGTGGGGGAAGGTCTAAAAAGCACAAAGTGGATGGAGAGAGAGTAGAGTGGGCAGGGTATTCCTGAGCACAGAGCCAGGAGCAAGTCCTGAGCACTGTCAGGGGTGACCCTCAAAACCAAAATTTGTTTTAAAAGCACGTGTGGCCAGGGGTGTCTGTTGTTGTTACTGCTTGCTCCCACTGGGCTTGCTGACCCCAAAGAACATCCATGTGATAATACAAGCAGTGATAGTACAAGCGGGTAGGGCGTTTGCCTTGCACGCAGCCGACCCTAGTTCAATCCTCAGCATCCCATAGGGTCCCCCAAGCACCACCAGGAGTAACTTCTGAGTGCAGGGCCAGGAGTAATCCCTGAGCATCGCTGGGTGAGACCCAAAAAGCAAAAGCAAAAAAAAAAAAAAAAAGTACACCCATGCCTGTGCACAGCTGGGGTCCCCCAACTCCCTGCCGGTACCCTCCCAACCCAGCTCCCCGCTCACCGGGAAAGACTTGATACTCCAGATCACCACGTTCTTCTCCGGCACGTACTTAGCGCTGCCCACACTGGTCTTAAAGCGCGGAGAGTCGGCGTCACTGGGCACCGGCACGCAGATCTCCACGCCGTTGGCCACTGACTGCTTCTTAAACTGGCCCTTGGCCTGTCGGGGCCGGGGGGGGGAGGGATGACTAACACCTCTTCACAGCTGACATGGGTTCGAGCGAGCCCTGCCCGAGCCAAGAACCAGGAGGAAGCCCTGATCATCCACCCACTGAGAGTGACCCTGCGACCCAAACTGAAACCAAGCAAGGAAATAACCGTTGAAGAGCGCCAGGGAGGGGAGGGGACCCCCCTCCCCCATGGTCACCTTCACCATGATCTCCACGCGGCTGTGTGAGAATTTCTCAATGACCGACTCGATCCAGATCAGAGGCTTGACCTGCAGAGCCAGGAGAGAGCCAGGGTGTCCTGGGCCATTCCGGGGTTCGCACTCGGCCCCGGGGTGCGGGCGCCTCACTCACCTGGGTGCTGAGGCGGTAGGACATGAGCTCGAAGTCACCGTCGGGCGGGATGAAGGAGATAGTGCGGTCATTGTCGAAGCGCGACAGCCGCACGCACTGGTGGAACTTGACGTCCTCCAGCTCCACGGACTTGTTCTTACTCCCTGAAACTCGGAGCCCAGCATGCGGGGTGACCCTGGGGGTGCTGCCACGGCTGCCCCTCCCCACGGCGACCCCTCCCCCCGGCCACCCAGTAGGCTGGGAGCAGTGGAAAGATGGACACGTGGGGAATGAATCTGTCACTGTCCGACTTCTCAGTGCTCCGCACTGGAATAGCCAGTCCTTGAGGGCAAGTGGCCGGAGCCATAGTCAAGCGCAGGGCCAACCCAGGTTCCATCCTTAGCGCCCAGAGCACGGTCAGGAGTGATCCCTGAATGTAGAGGCAGGACTAAGCCCTGAGCAACTCCGGGTGTGGCCAAATCCTCCCACAAAAAAGGAGGGCAAGGGTGTGTCTTGGTTCTCCCCCCTATCCTGCCACCCCCTAGAATGAAGCTGTTCCAACAGGCTGCGCTGCTCTCTCTGACCAGCAGAGGGCGCGCAAGGGCTTCTTTTGGGTCCAGCTTCAGTTTCCCCGGGACCTGGACTCAGGGCTGGTACACACACACACACACACACACACACACACACCTTCAGTTTCCCCGGGACCTGGACAGTTTCCCCGGGACCTGGACAGTTTCCCCGGGACCTGGACAGTTTCCCCGGGACCTGGACTCAGGGCTGGTACACACACACACACACACACACACACACACACACAGCTTCAGTTTCACACACACATACACACACACACACACACAGCTTCAGTTTCACACACACATACACACACACACACACAGCTTCAGTTTCACACACACATACACACACACACACACACACGCGCGCCCGGGTCACCCCTTTCCCAGGTGGCCCCATCGTGGACACTTACGGCCAGTGAGTTCGAAGAGCACACGGTCATTAAGGCCCAGCCGCAGCTCCGGCATCCCGGACAAAAACACCTTGAGCTTGATGGTGCCCACGATCTCGCTTAGCAGGACGCTGCCATTGGCATTGACCTAGGAGTGGAGGCGTGGTCAACCGACACAGGCCCTGCCCCCGCGACAGACGCCACGCCCCAGACGGATGCCCCGCCCCTCAGGATTGCTCCGCCCCCAGCAGGAACCTCACCCCAGGCAGACACCACGCCCCTTTGGTGGCAGGGGGTGGGGTTTACCAGCAGGTGCCACGCCCCAGGAAGATGCCTCGCCCTTGCAGCAGAGGCCACGCCCTCACAGTATACACCCTGCCCCCAGTCGGAGCCACACCCTAGGCAGACGCCGCGCCCCCTCGGTGGCAGGAGCCTGGGCTCACCAGCAGGTTGACTGACTCGATGACATCGATGAAGACCTCGTTCTTCTTGTACTTGAGGCCTTCGGAGCGCCACGACACAGCATTAGTCACGGTAGAAGGCACCCGAGATTTGCCAGTCTCCAGTTTGTTGCCCTGCTGCGTGATGTACCTGCAGGGAGGGACAGTTCCTGGGGTCTCCTCCCCCCCGCCTGGAGATTCTTTCGGGTGGCCGCCTCTGCCCCCGGCCCACTCACTCCTGCAGGATTTTGCTGTCGGTGGTCTGCGGGAAGCCGAAATCCATGAGCTCATCCAGCAGCTCGTACACGATGACAAAGTTATCCCGGATGCTCTCCTCCTCTAGCTCCTTAAAGTACTCGGAGAACACCTGGGGGCGGGGGCGCAGGCCACATCGGGGACAGGAAAGAAATGAAACATTCTGAATACCTGTACCGGCTCTTCTGAGAAGTCTTCCTCCATCCCCTTCCAGAGGCTTGGGGGGTTATTGCTCTGGCCTTGCATGATCTCCAGAGCACCGCTAGGGGTCAGAAGTAGCTGCTGAGTAGCGCTGGGTGTGCCGCCAAAACTCAGTAAACAAAAATCCCAGACACCCACAGATGTGTGAATGGTTTAGCCTGGTTCCCACCTTGGGGCCTCATCCCACCTTGGCCAACAAATTGGAGGAACTCTGTACACGTACAGCATACCTGTCCCAGGGGACCCAAGCTGACGGCACCCTCAGCCCCCTCCCCCCCAAACATGGTCATGTGCATGAGGAGAAAAGCATAAGTAGGAGTCCAGAAGGAGGGAGATCCAGGGGAACTTCCTGGAGGAGGGGGTGCAGTCACTCCAAATGTTCTTCTGTTTTTTAAGGGGGGCAGGCAACAGACAGGTGCTCTGAGGCTATTCCCAGCCAATGAGAGAAGGCTCCTGCAAGAGGCGGGTCAGAAGAGCAGACAGGGACTTGCCATAGGGCAGCCAGGACCTACCTCCACCGTCTTGTACAGGAAGGAGTAGACCAGCGATGCGTTGGCATTCTTCAGGGTGGTCGCCACCACTGGGGCACAGGTGGGTGAAGGAACAGGGGCCACTTGGGAACATGCCAGTGAGGGCCAGACTCCCATCCTGCCTCCCCTGTCCCACATCTCTGTGGGCCCCACCCGCCGCCCAGCATTGGGGAGCGCTGTGCAACTCCCGCCTGGGCTTGCCCTCTCTGGGCCCCACGGGGAGGATACGGTAGAGGTTGCTGTGCTTGATCCACAGGAAGTGCACTCTGCCGTGGCTCAGCAGGGGTGCCAGCGCACCCTCTTCCTCCCTCTGCATGAGGAGCGGCATGAAATACTCAATCTCGCTCATGGCGATGTCACCCTTGTAGTTGCGGCTGATCAGGGGCTGCGGGCAGACAGGGCACATCACTCCTGGGGCACGGGGTGGGGGGCCCTGTTCAGACCCCTGCACCTGCAGGTCCCTGCTGGCCATGTGCCAGGAGATTTGTAAGGAGAGTCCAGAACCTCCAAGGAGGGCTGCAAGGTGGGTGAAGCTGTCACCTCTCTCTCTCTCTCTCTCTCTCTCTTTTCTCTTTGGGTCACACTCAGCGATGCTCAGGGGTTCCTCCTGGCTCTGCACTCAGGAATTACTCCTGGTGGTGCTCAGGGGACCATATGGGATGCTGAGAATCGAACCCGGGTCGGCTGCGTACAAGGCAAACGCCCTACCCGCTGTACTATCGCTCCAGCCCCCTCACCTCTCTTTTACAAAGTGGGGGGAACTGAGTGCACAGAGGCGGGAAGTGGGGGTTCGGGATGGGGAGGGCTCAGGGCCAGGACACTTGCCTTGAAAGTGCGGGGGTCTACTGGCCACATGTGCACAGTGAGACCCCCAACCACACTTGCTATTTAGGGGTTCGTACTGCCCAACGTGTGCCGTCTGGGACACCTTACAACCTCATGCACGGGCACACACACACACACACACACACACACACACCTGTAAACCTTCTCTCACATACACACATAAACCTCATAACCCCACCACCAGGGGGCGCTCCAAATAAGACTGTGAACCCTGCAACCAAGCCTGGCACCTGACAGCACTGCTGGAACAGGGAAGGGAAATGAAGTAAAAGAATAATTATAGGGGCTGGAGACTTAGTACAGAGGGTAGAGCACTTGCTTTTCACGCAGCCCATGTGGGTTCTGTCCCCAGACCCACATAGGACCTCCCCGATGCTCCCCAGTCTTGAGCTCTGTTGGGTGTGGTGGCCCAAACTCCAAACTCCTCTCTCCCAAAGGTAGTGCTCACGTGTTACACCACGAACCTAGAGGCCCCGAGTTCAATCTCTGGCAGCACCAAGCCCCAGCCCAGGCAGCCCCGCCCCAGTTTCCCCTGTGGGGTGGCCGCTGTGAATAAAGTAATATAACAGTGGGGAAACAAGAAGCCATCCTGCCTTCAAAATTTGGGGGGCTGGTTTTGGCTTTTGGCCATAAGGGCAGTGCCCAGGTATGGTGCTGGGGTTCAAGCTGAGACTCCCGCCCCTGCAAACCTCTGCTCCTGCCCGTGGCGTGGTCCAGGAGGTCGGGGAAGGGGCTAGTACTTCCCTGCATCTGAGGTCCTGGATCTGACTTTCAGCAGGGCAAGAAACAAGTCTGGGGATCCTGATCAATAATCCAGTGGGAAGAGTCCTGCACACAGCCAACCTGGGATTGATCCCCGGCACCTCATAGGGTCCCTGAGCCCCGCCAGGAGTGATCCTTGAGCACAGAGCCAGGAGTCAGCCCTGAGCACAGAGCCAGGAGTTAGTCCTCAGAACGGCCGGGTGGGTGTGGTCCAAAACAGAAAAAGAAAAGACACAAACCAAACATTCAAGTTCTACTCTGGCCTCAGGCTTGGTGGGCACAAATCAATGAGGTCAGGATGATGGAGAGAAGAGGAAGAGGAGGAGAAGGAGGAGGGACGAAAAACGAGAAAGGGCAAAGGACAAGGATCAAATCTAAGTGCGACATTTATTGCCAAGCTCAGCCTGGGGTAAGAAATTGGGTACGGAGCACCGCCAGGAGTAATTCCTGACGCAGAACCAGGAGTCACCCCTGAGCATCGCTGGGTGTGATGGAAAAAAGGACCCCCCCCCCAGAGAAAAAAAAGTTGGGTGCGAGGGGGCATCCTGTGGCTGCAACTCAGCACCTTAAGACGCCCCCCCCGCAAGCATCCGTGGCGCCTGAGCGCTCTTGACTCGTTCCAGCAGGGACCTGACGGTGACTGCGGGACTCGGCCAAGAGACAAGGACAGCGAATCCCGCCAGGGACGCTTTGGTGTCCCCGGAACGTGCAGCGTGCAGTGATGCCGGCGGTAGGAGGGCTCGCCACAAGGGGTCGGGCGGCGGGCACGCCTGTGTGTCCCCATTTTGCGGAGGAGGGAAATTGAGGCCTCACCAGACCAAGTCCCGGGTGGGGGGGGGGGCAGGCTAGCGGCTGGCGACCTGTTTGTGGGGGGGAATCCCCAGAACGGGGGCAGGAACCTGAGGCTTCCCTGCGGGCGACCCGGGGCCGGGGTGGCGCTGCCTCGTCGGTGGGGGGCCCGGTCCCCTGCGCCCGCCCTCACCTTGCCCTTTACGTCCAGGATAAAGACGGCCGAGGCGGACATGGTGGCGGCCCGCGGACCAGGGAGGTGACAGCGGCGCCGCTTCCTCCTTCCTGCGGAAGCCGAGCGCGCAGGTGAGCGCCCAGGTGAGCGTCTTAAAGGGGAGGTGGCCAGGTGAGTCGCGCGTCGGCCGACGCGGAGGGCGCCCTGGGGGCGGGGCGGGGCTTTCTCGGTGCTCCTGGTGGTACCGCCCCTTTGCCCTTTGCCCCCCCCCTCCCCGCAATGCGATGTATGGGGCAAGCTCACCTCCTCCGTTCATTCACTCATTTGCCCATCAATCTGTATATTATCTACCATCCTTCCAGTCTTTCACTCACTCACCCATCCATCCATCCATCATCCATCCATCCATCCATCCATCCATCCATCCATCCATCCATCCGTGTAGCCAGCCTACCTGTCTGCTCTCCAACCCTTCGTTCATCCATAATTTCCTCCCATCTACCGCCCATCATTCCATTCTACTTTTCTTCCAGACCTACAGCTATAGAGCCAGCCTGCCTTCCTGCCTTTCGTTCATTCATCTACGCAAAACACCCTTCCTTCCTTTCTTCCTCCCTCCTCCCTTCCTCCCTTCGTATTTTCTCTCCCCTGCAGGTATGTGAGCCCCAGTTGGCAGAGATTAATCCTCCTCATGCCCATCTTCCCAGAGCACTGGTTGCTCAATTCACTCATTCACACGAGATATTTATGCTGGGCTCAGAGCCATAGTGCAGCGGGGAGGGCGCTTGCCTTGTAGGCAGCAGGCCCGGGGTTCATCCCTGGCACCCCAGAGGGTCCCCTGAGCCCTTCAGGAGAGATCCCTGAGCACAGAGGCAGGAATAAGCCCTGAGCACTGCTGGGTGTGGCCCCCAAAGCAAAAGCAAAATACAGAAGGCCTGTGCATGCGAAGCCCTGAGCTCTCCACCGACCCATCAGCCTGTTTTCTCATCACTGAGGGGGCTCACACACAGGGTTGCAGTGGGGATTGGAAACCTCTTGTGTGAGTTGGGGGTCCCTGAGCATAGGGGCTGTCAGGCGCAGCTAAGCTCACAGGAGTGTGCTCTGGGGGTGTAGGCGTGCGTGGGAGGCGGCTCCGAGCCTGGAGCTTTCAGGCAGGTGCATTCACCATCTGAGTCACCTCGGGGTCCCCAAAGCTCAATGTGGTGTGTCACCTCTGCCCCAAACAGGGGAGTAGCTTTCCCCTCCAAGGGCAGGGCTGCCCTCCAGGCATCCTTGAGTCCCCTCCAGGGGCCCCCTTTCCTGGAGCCCCAAGGAGACGTATTTTGGACATAAACAAAGCCTGGCTGAGGGCTCTCGGAATCTGAAACTCCAGGCCTGTTTGGCTGAAAAATTCATGAGCCCAAACAGGGCAGCGGGGTGAGGGCAGAGCCACTCAGCTGCCTGCTGGTGTCCCCTCCCTCTTCCCAGAGCCCTTGACCCTGCCCCAGTTTCTCCTCTAACCTCCCAAGGGTCACCCCTCCAGGGCCCTGCCCCCAGGCACTCCTTTCTCCTCATTTGTGAAAGCTTCTCCCCGGCTGCCTTTGGCGCCATCGCCCCTGCAGACTGCTTCCCAGGCGCCCCAGACTCTCTGGCTTCCCTCATTTCACTTCCTCTTTCTCTTTTCTGCTTTCTCTCTCACAACACGCTCCTTCCTTTTAGTGCCTTCTCCATAGTCAGAGCTCAGCTCTTCTCCACCAGGAAGCCCTCTCTGGTTTCCTCAGACTTCCCACTGTGGGTCTGGGCCAAGGCCCTTCCTCTCCTCCCCTTTCCAGTGACCCTCCCCCTCCCAAGTGACCCTCCTCTGAGAGCTGTAAAGTCCTAGATTACATTTTTCTTCTTGGTTCCCTGCCCCATTCCCTGTTGTTATAAAGACGACCCAGGGGATCTCACACACAGACACACAAACACACAGACACAGACACACACAGACACACAGACATAGACACACACACACACACACATACCTGGCTTCCACAGGTGTGTGGTTGACCTGAATTCCATCCCTGACAACACATATGAAGCTCCAAGCCCTGCCAGGAGTGATTCCTGAGCACAAAAGGCAGGATTAAGACCTAAGGACTGCTGGGTCTGACCCCAAAACCAGAAACAAACAAACAAACAAACAAATGCTCACCCTTTTTTTTTTTGTTTTGTTTTGTTTTGTTTTTGGCTTTTGGCTTTTGATGCTCAGGGCTGACTCCTAGCTCTGCATTCAGGAATCACTCCTGGTGCTGCTCAGGGGACCCTATGGGATCCCAGGGACCGAACCTGGGTTTACCACATGCAAGATAAATGCCCTCCCTGCTGTGCTATTGCTCCAACCCGAAGTGCTCACCCTTTGTATAATCTCCCTGAACCCCAGCTGCTATTTTACATTTTTTTATCTATTATTATGGGGGGGGCTGGAGCGATAGCACAGCAGGTAGGGCGTTTGCCTTGCACGCAGCCAATGTAGCTGACCCGAGTTCGATTCCTCCGCCCCTCTCGGAGAGCCCAGCAAGCTACCGAGAGTATCTCACCTGCACGGCAAAGCCTGGCAAGCTACCCGTGATGTATTCGATATGCCAAACACAGTAACAACAAGTATCATGATGGAGACATTACTGGGCCCGCTCGAGCAAATAGATTATTGTGGGGGAGGGGGGTTGGGCCACACCTGGCAGTGCTTAGGACTTATTCCTGTCTCTGTGCTCAGAGACCGGGTAGGGTTTGGGGACTTCTATGCAGTGCTAGAAATTGAGCCAGAAATTGTGGTCCTTCCACTACCCCCCCAGAAAAAGGAGGGGGAATTATCACAAAGGAGGGAAGTGGAGTGGAGCATTTTCCTTGCATGTCCGAGGTCCTGGGTTCTATCTCTGGGGCAGCAAAAGAGAAAGAAAAGACATTTCCTAGCGGTGGCATCAGTTTGGATTCTCTGCTGAAGTTGGTTCCTGTCGCTTGATCTGGCAGGTGTATATTGCCACATGGATGCAGTTAGCAATTTTTTTTTCTTTTTTGGGTCACACCCAGTGTTGCACCGGGATTACTCCTGGCTCATGCACTCAGGAGTTACTCCTAGTGGTGCTCAGGGGAACCATATGGGATACGGGAATCGGAATCGTGCAAATGCCCTACCCACTGTGCTATTCCTCCAGCCCACAGTTAGCAATCTTTGAGAGGCTGTCTCCTGAGGCTATATGGCTCACACCTGGGGCCCGCCAGGGCCACCTACCACAGTGCACAGGGGCCACTGATGCTTGGCTTAGAACTCAGGGCCTTGTGACTATGACGATCACAATCATCCTGTTGTTTGTCGGTTGCCTCGAGCAGGCACCAGTAACGTCTCCTTCGTCCTAGCCCTGAGAAATGCTCTTTCAGGGTTAGGAGAATGACACCCATCATTATAGGCGACTATGACACCTATAATCAAATCACCTGAGTCTGCTCCCAGGCTCCCGGCCCTGGGTCAATAGGTTTGACTTCCATCTCCCACTTAATTTGTTTTTAATTTTTGAGTTTTGTTTTCTCTGTGGTGCTAGGCTTAAGCCCCGAGCTCCTGTACACAGAGCTCCTTGCTCCAGCTCTGAGTACTGTGTCCTGGGGCGCTCTCCCACACCCTCTTCCACATCACTGCGCTTCTCCCATCCCTGATGGGGAAACATCAGTCAAGAAAATCAATAAAGAAGAAACATCTTTTTTGTCTGTTTGCTGGATGTTCGCTAGTGTCCAGTTGGCGCTCAGGCTCCAGGGGGCGAATGAGCCAATGAAATGATACGGGGGCCGGAGCGACAGGACAGCGGCTAGGGCGTCTCGACCGGGGTTCGGGGTTCCTTTCCCGGCATTCCATATGGAACCCCAGCCTTCCATATGGTTCCCCCCGAGCCCCACCAGGAGTGATTCCTGAGCACAAGCCAGGAGTAAGCCGTGAGCACTGCCCGGGGTGGCCCAAAACACAAAACAAACACACCCATAGCGAAATGATGCGTGTTTGCACGGCTCCTCGGCCCCCCTAAACACTCCACGAGGAGCTAAGAAGGCAGCCGGGGAAACAAAGGTGGGAGACCTGACCAGTCCCGCGCCTAGCCCCGCCCCCAGCCCCGCCCCCGACCAGCGCGGGCTCCCATTGGGCGCGGGTGGAGAGGCGTGGCCGGGGCGGGGCCTGGCCGGGGCGGGGCGCTGCAGCCTCCGAGCCGCCAGCCGGCCGGGGCTGGGGTCGCGCCGCCGCCGCCCGCCGCGGCCATGGAGGACGAGCGCAAGGACGGAGCCTACGGTAGGGGCCACCTCTGCTGAACCCGGGGGCGCGGGCCTTGCGGGGAAAGGGAGCCCTGAGGCCGTAAACACCCGCGCTGCAGCTGTGTATGTCGGGGTGTTTCGGGTGCAACCCCCCTTCCCCTCCCCCGCCTTCCGCCCCGCCAGGGGCTCGCCAACCCGGGGCTGCAGCCGGGTCCCCAGTTCCTTCCCGGGAGACCCCCGCGGTCTCTGCCCGGCTGATGGGCCGGTTTGCACGGCGCATGCTCCACCCGGGAGGTCCCGTTATCTGGGCGTCTCAGGCGCCAGCGGGGGAGGGGAGGCGGCTAGCCAGGACAGGGGAAGGGGCCAGGGTGGGCTCGACCTCCGCAGAGCCCTCCACCCCCTTTTCCAGGCTCCTTTGTCCACCTCCTCTGGCTCCCGAAACCCCCACACAAAACCACCACCACCACCACCACCACCACTAACACAAGTATTAGCCTGGGCTTCTGTGCAGATGGAGAAACTGAGGCAGAGTAGGGTGAGGTGGGAGCAAATGGGGTCTCTCTGGGTGACTGGAAGGGCGGAAATCGAGGCGCCTCGGGTGAGGGGCAGGAAGGAAGCCGGAAACAATTGAGTAACTTTCCCCGCCTTCTGCCAGTAAATGGGGGTACCTGGTTTCCATTTCTCCCTTCCAGAGGCGATGACACCCTTTGCCCTAAACTCGGAGGGTGATCTTGACCCGCACCCCCTGCTCCCCTTCACACAATTGCACCCTACTTTGCTGCCATCCGCGGTCCTGAGGAGGCTGAGTCTGGCCCTCAGCTATCTGTCGATCTTCTGCATTTAGGGGTCCCTGGGGACGAGGGGGACATGGTGCCAGCTTGAGAGCTCCCACGCCTCTTGTGAACCTACAACTTCCTGTAAATTGTGGTAGTCTTGAGAAGGGGGCCGGAAACCACTTAAAAATAAGACAAAAACACAGGATACCCAGTCACTCCCCAGCAGGCACTGTGGCCCCCAGAGGCCACAGACAGACAGGCTGGGACCCTCCCTGCCCTGGGCAGCCCCCTCCCCTCTGTGCCTGAAGCTGCTGTACCAGCAATACTGGATTTACAGACCCTGCCAGTGACCCAATGCTGTGCACCCTTTGAGAGTGACTAGCGGTCTCTGATCTGGAGATCTCACCCCAGAGTCCTGGGGAGTAGCACCTGAGGAATTCTGGTGGCTGTGAGGTCCTTCTGGGGTGGACAGTGGGGGCCAGTGGGCAGTGATGTGATCCACCAGGCCTTGAGACTGAGTTGAAGTCAGCCAGGCAGGCTGGGGCACTGGAGGTGGCGAGTGTCCTGGGCAGGATCTGGGCACTAAGAACGGGGAAAAAGCGTGAGTGGGGAAGGACAAAGGAGACCTTTGTACCTGGGGGTGGCAGGAGTGGTGAAACCAAGGATGGTGTGTGTGTGTGTGTGCGCGCGTGCACGTGCGTGTGTTTGTGCGCATGTATGTGTATGTGTGTATGTGTGTATATGTGTGAATGTGTGTATGTGTGTGTTTGTGTATGTGTGTGTATGTGAGAGCATGGATATGTGTAAGAGCATGTGTGTATGTGTGAGAGTATTGTGTATGTGTGTGTTTATTTGTGTGAGTGAATATGGAAGTATGTGTAAGTGTGAGTGTGAGCATGTGTTTGTTTAAGAATGTGTGTATGTGAGAGCATGTGTGTATGTGAGCATGTGTGTGCGTGTGTGTGAAACCTGAGAGTGTGTTTATATGTGCATGAGTATGTATGTGTTTATGTGTGTGAGAGCATGTGTGTGTATGTATGTGTGTGAGAGCATGTGTGTGTGTATGTGTGTGAGGGTGTGGGAGTGTGTGCGCGCGTGCGCGGCTGCGTTCTGGGGAGGGGAGCAGCTGGCACACACTTGCTGGGCTGAGAGCGTGGGAAGGTTTGTAGAAACCCTTTGAGCCCGCAGGGAGAGGAAACCAACCTCACAGCTGCTCGCAGGTCCATTTTTGCAGGCTGAGTGACGGCTCTGGGGAAGCTCCTGCCCCACATGTGGCCCACCTGGGTGGCTCTGGGCACCGCTAGGGTCCCCTGAGCGCCACCAGGAGTGATTCCTGAGCACTGAGCCCAGGAGTCAGCCCAGGAGTCAGCCCAGAGAATCGCAGGTGTGGTTCCAAAACAAAACACAGAAAAGGTCAAGTGTGTGTGTGTGTGTGTTTGTGTGTGTGTGTGATGTGTGTGTGTGTGTGTGTGTGTGTGATGTACAATCCACAAGCCGGTGGGCTCAGCACCTGCGCGTTAGTTCTCATCCCTGAGGACACGGTGCTGCTGGTGCTGCTGCTCGGCCTGGCCTGAGAGAGCTTGGGGGCTCCCTGGGGCTGCAAGGGGTCCACTAACCTGTGAACTGTCTCACCGGCTTAGTGATCATTCTGTTTTATGGGTTTGGGGGGCACCAAGTGGTGCTTGGGGAACCCTAGGCAGTGCCGGGGAATTAATGAGACTTGACCACATGCAAGCCCAGTGCCTTCACCCCTGGACTATCTCCCCAGCCCTTGTAAAACCTGGGGGGGGGCTTAAGGGAGAAACTGCAGCTGGGTCTTTGCAGCCCAGCCCTCACCTCCTCCAGAAGGGCCACCTGGCTTGAACTGTGAAATCAGTTGTGAGGGATGGGTGTCCTCCTTAGCTGGTACCTAGTCCATTCTTTTTATTTATTTATTTGCTTTTTGGGTCACACCCGGTGATGCACAGGGGTTACTCCTGGCTCTGCACTCAGGAATTATTCCTGGCAATGCTTGGGGAACCATATGGGATGCTGGGGATTGAACCCGGGTTGGCCTCATGCAAGGTAAATGCCTTACCTGCTGTGCTATCGCTCCAGCCCCACCTGGTCCATTCTTACCAGAAGTAAAAAGCTGGGGTTCCCAGACTCCCTGAGAAGTTCCTGTGGGATAATCCTGACAGATCCTCTTGTAGCCCCCCAGAAACTCCAGGAAATGAAGAGGTGATGTGAGGCAAAAAGAATCCACCTAGGCTCGGACCCTCATCCTGCCTCGTCCCAGGGAGGGTCTCTCTGAGAATCTTCTCCTCTAGCAATGTTTTGTGTTTACTATTTTATTTGGGTGTTTGGGCCACCCCAGGCTGTGCTCAGGGCTGACTCTTGACAGTGCTCAAGGATCACTCTTGGTGAGGCCTGAGGGTCCCGATGTAGTACTGGATGTAGTACTGGGAATTGAACCCGGGCCAGCTGCGTGCAGGGCAAGCGCTCTGTGCTGTGTCTTCACCCTGGGAGCGGTTTTTAACCTGCTACATCCACGAGTGGATAGCAGGGGCGGTGTGGCCGAGTCTACACTGTGGGGTCTTCTGTATACAGTAGAGGGGTATAGTTACTCAGGGGTTGGAGGGAAGCACCCCCTCTGCATGTGGCATGCAGGGGTGAGGCAGCTCCTGCTGAGAGCACCCATCCCCGCCCATCCTCGTCTGGATGAAGACAACAGCCCCAAGGGAAAATGGGAAAATGGCTCCAGGCCCCAAGGGATGTCTGCCCCTCCTGGCCCACCCTTGTCATGAACCACATGGAAAAAAACGTTTTCCATGGAACATGATTGGGGGGGGGGGAAGGGAGGGGACAGTGGGGGGAGGGGAGGAATAATGGCCATTGTTTCCAAAGCTCTGTTTGTGCCAGGGATTTGAGTTAAGTGGTAGACCACATGCCTTGCATGTGTAAGGTCCTGGGCATGACCCCAAACACCAGGGATGGAAATTAAAAGGGGAAGGCTGGAGAGACGAGCAGGGTTCAAGTACTGGCCTTCCAGGTGGCTGACATGGGTTCACTCCTCAGCACCCCATAGGGTTCCCCCAGCACAGAGCAGCGATGCCTGAGCACAGAGCCAGGAGTAAGCCCCAAACACCACAGGCCGTGGGCCAAACCAGACATAAAAGAAATTTCCCAGGGGTGTTGTTGGCTTCTCCTCCTCCGTGCCTGGAACGACGGATGCACCGCCAGAGGTCACTCCCGAGCAGAGAGCCAGGAATAGCCCCTGAGTACTGCCCACGCCCCCAACTGCAAAACAAAGCAAGACTGATTCCCAGGTTGGAGAGAGAGCACTGGACTTCGGGAACTTGCCTTGAACGTGGCCGACCCTGGTTCCATCCCCGACACCCCATCGGCATTCCCCGGCACAGCCACGATCGTTCTGGGCACCACTGGATATGGTTGCCAAGCCTTTAAACAAAGAAAAAAAAACCTGATCCCTAAATAGAAGATGACTGTTGAACTCTGTGTGTGTGTGTGTGTGTGTGTGTGTGTTGGAGCCAGACTCCCAGAACTTCATGCACCTTTCCACAGACCTACATCCTCCAGCTTTTATCCACCTTTCTTTTTTTTATTTTGCTTTTTGGGTCATACCCTGCGATGTTCAGGGGCTACTCCTGACTCTGCACTCAGGAATTACTCCTGGCGGTGCTCAGGGGACCATATGGGATGCCAGGGATTGAACCCGTGTTGGCCTCGTGCAGGGCAAACACCCTACCCACTATACTGTCGCTCCGGCCCCTTTTATCCACCTTTCAAGTTGCATTATCCCAGGAGAATCACAGAGCGGATCAGGTTTTCTGCAGCCTGTCAGCCTCAGGAAGCAGCGCGGTTGTTAATGCTGCTGGCTTCCTGCACACCCTCTCGGGAGTCTAGCCCTGTGTGATGTCCCTGGGCACCTCCCCCGGGGCAGTCTGAGTCTGCACTAACAGCCCTGGGGCCCAGGAGTGGGGGCTGGATCCTGTGGTAGGCTGCTCGCGACCCACTGTTTCACAGGCATCAGAATTTGGACTTTGGAGTCAAAAGATAGTACAGAGGGTTAGAGCATGGGCTTTCACGAGGGAGCCCCGGGTTCAATTCCCAGCACTCCATATGGTCACCAAATTGCAATAGGAGTGATCCCTGCACTGCCGGATGTGGTCCCCAAACAAACACACACGTGTGTGTGTGTGTATATGTACGTATATATAGGTAGCACTGTAGCACTGTCCTTCCATTGTTCATCGATTTG